TCCCTCCCGATTGAAAACAACAACCGCGCCCTCAGCCGCCAGCCCTCTCCACATGCACTCCGCACCTTAGTATTTCACTTCAGCACTGCGCCTCCTCTGAGTCTCGTATGGTTTCCTCTTTCCTCCTAGTTGTAGAACTTCCACTCAGCCAGCCTTCCTGTGGTTCTGGATGATGTCCGTTCCGTCTTTTAGTTGTATTTTTGAAGTGGTTGTTTGAGGCAGCAAACTCCGGCGTTAACCTATGCCGCCATCTTGGTTTTCCCCGACTTGCTGAGTTTTTATGTAGCTTCAAAGAGAAGTATCTGAAAAGGCTACCAAAATATTTCTCCCCTTTCCAGTTACATATCTGTGTAAGTCTGGGTTTCCTTCATATACTACACCCAATGTTATACAGGTTGAGTGTAGAAATAGTTATGAGAATCCACTTGTCATCTATTCAATCAGATATTAAGATTCGCAAAAATGTAAAATAATGTCACACTTCTCGCTAACTTACTTTGTTTTGGAAGATATAATTATTTTTCATAATTATGTTACCTGTATAAGTTATTTTTAATGAATTGATAATTGCAAAAATTTCTGTTTAACTTCTACTACAGTAAGTATCAGCTTGTATGTTGCATGAACAAAATCTCTCTGGGATCGTCAGTAATTTTAAGAGTATAATGGGGTATTAACACCCCCATATTTGAAAATGGTTGGTACAGCCCAGCTACTCGGTGGTTGAGCATCAACCCATGAACCAGGAGGTCACTGGTTTGGTTTGGTTTGGTTTGGTTTGGCACAAGCCCGGGTTGTGGGCTCAATCCCCAGGAGGAGGCATGCAGGAGGTGATCGATTGATGTTGATGCTTCTCTATACATCAGTGTTTCTATCTCTCCCTCTCCCTTCCTCTCACTCTAAAATCAATAAAAACATTTTAAAAATCCACTAGAAACCAGTTTGAGCATTAAAGAAAAGAACTATTGACTGCTAGTTCAATTTAAAAATGAGAGAGAAAATGGCTGGTATATATAACATTATCTTTTCTAAAGATGAAAGTATGATTATACAGTGGGCTTTTGAACAACACAGAGGTTAGGGCACCAATTCCCTGTGCGATTGAAAATTCGACTCCCCCAAAACTTAACTACTAATAGCCTACTGTTGACCAGAAGCCTTACCATATAAATAGTCAATTAATATATGTTAACATAAAGTTTATTAACATTGTGTATGTTATATATATTATATGCTGTATTCTTATAATAAAGTAAGCTAGAGAGAAGAAAATATTAAAATCATAAGAGAAAATACATTTACAGTATTTATTGAAAAAAATGTATATAGGTGGACCCGTGCAGTTCAAACCTGTGTTGTCCAGGGGCCGGCAGTGTGTGCAGTGCCGGGTGTGCCTGCAGTGCATTAGGAGCTCTGGAAGGATCAGAGGCTAAAACGGGGAGCCTTGTGCATAAGGTGGAGGGAGTGCTGGGAATTAGGAGAAGGGGTATGGGGAGAGGGAGAGTTCACTCTATAATGTTATGCACTTTATATTTGTGCCATGTGACTGTTACATATTTTTTAAAAATCTACTCCATGGCATATTTCTAGGAAGTTTTAGGAAAAAAAGACAATAAAGAGAGTCCTAGAACCTGTCAGAGGGAGTCATTTTCTTTTTCTTCCCAGGTCTGCAGTGGTGCGAAGGTCCAACACCAGCCCTATGGGCTTCCTCCGGGTGGGAGCCGGCTCCCCAGCGCCCGCAGACACAGCACAGACAGTCGGACGAAGACTCTCCACTGGGTCTTCCAGGCCTTATTCACCTTCCCCTTTGGGTACGAGTTTAAAGCAGTTGTCTTCAACCTTTTTTACTGCCAGATCTGACCTGGCACACTCTATGGGACCATTGGCTCACGGTGACAAAGAGTCTCAGCTGGGACCATATCCCACCCCCCTGGGTACACCCTGCCCCTTAGTCCCGCTCGAGAACCTCTGGGTAAATCTGTTAGGACGTCCATTGAAAATATAATACAAATGGATCTTTTGCATAAAAAGTATCTCCTTTGGGCTTGGGCTCTAAACAGAAAGTCAGAAAATCTAGGTTAAAGTACATAAAACCCCTACCCTACATACCACTCAGATTTCTGAGGATTAAAAGACAGTCGTGTACATAACAGCACCGCCTGTGACCAGGGAGAGATGTGGCGGTAGCCTTGTTACAGTCTGCCACCTCCTGGGAACTATGTACAGCAGAGGAACAGCTAAAACAGAGCAGAAACACAACAGCAACAACAAAACCCAACCAAACATAAAAACAAGCCTTAAAGCATACATTTAGTGAAAGTAAGACAGAGACCAGAGCAACTGGGATTGCAGAATTTGTGTAAAACAACATCCGTGTGGTGGGGAAGAAAAGGTGGTACAGAGAGGGCCCAGTAGGGGCAGATCTCAAAATTGAAAAAACAAAAAAACAACGCAAAACTTTTTTATACACACACGCACACACATTTCTAAAGGGAGAGGGCCGCCACCCTCAGCCAAGACTGCCGGAGTAGGATTCAGAGGGAATGGGAAGGTTGGGAGGAGGCAGAGCAAGGACGGTGCCCAGAAGCCCTGATTTCAAAACCACAGTGATAATGTTTAAAAAACCCACAAAAAAACATGTATCACCACCTCACCTGTTGCAATGGTTTTGAAGCTGTTTTTAGCTGATATTTTTTTTTTCAAACAAAATCTTGGCTCTGCCTCATCCTTCAGCAGCTCCTAAGGGACTCCAAGGTTTCCAGAGAAATGTTCCAAAACTTATCCTTGAACTCAAGGAAAAGGCTCTTCCTCGGGGTCTGCTAACCCTTTGCCTGCCGACCTAACCCCTTGGTCGGTGCCTCTTCCTTTTTGTAGACGTGGGTCTCTTGCCTACTTAAATCGCCTGAAGTCTTCACCAGCTCTCCTTTTTATTGGTTTGGGTCCTGAGAGGTACATGCAAAGAAAGTAGATGCAGAGATGTGCAAGAGAGATTGGGGGACACCTGTGCTGGATAAAGGGGAGGAAGCAGGAGTTCACAGGGAGCCCCCTGAGACTGCCATGCAGATGCGACCATCTGAGGGAAAGGAAGGAGTCCTGGCTGCAGTGCGGGCTCAGAGAGGTTAGCCCAGCTGAAAGAGTGTCCCCATGCACTGAGTTGTCCACATTTCCTGACCTGCTTGAACAAGCCTGAATGAATGCCTCGAACATATGCAGTCAGTGGCTGGGAGGCCTGGGGAGCAGGAATAGGGTGGATTCAGAGGGACAGTAGCTGGGCTGTCATTCAGCTCCACAAGCCCCCAACTCTGTGCACAAACTCTTTGTACTTCCCTGTTTTAAGGACATACTTGTTGCAGACACTGATTGTACATGGCTTTCTTTCCTATTGATCTTGTTTTAAAAGTATAGGTACTTTTGTCCTAACCGGTTTGGCTCAGTGGATAGAGCGTCGGCCTGCGGACTGAAGGGTCCCAGGTTTGATTCCGGTCAAGGGCATGTACCTGGGTTGCGGGCACATCCCCAGTAGGGGGCGTGCAAGAGGCAGCTGAATTGATGTTTCTCTCATTGATGTTTCTAACTCTGTATCCCTCTCCCTTCCTCTCTGTAAAAAAATCAATAAAATATATTTTTTTAAAAAAAGAGTATAGGTACTTTTGATCCTAGTATGCCCAGTACCCAGCACATTGGTTGTTTAGCTGAGCTAAATGTTTGCTGAGTAAATTTTGTAAACTACAATGTACTGTGCAATCTGCATGTATTGCCTGTCTCCATTCTTAGCCGGTTTTGAAGCATTTCTCTGCCCTGCCCCTGTTCCCTCTTTGCAGTTGGTGCCATTCCAGAGCCATGGAGTCAGTGCTGCTGTGGGCGCCCACAGGGCCAGGAATCCGGGAGGAGGAACTCTTCAGGTAGGAGATGGAGTTGGCATATTAATAACTAATCCTGTTATGAACTAGAGGTCTGGTGCACGAATTAGTGCACAGGTGGGGTCTGGCCGCAGGGTGTGGGAGGGTTGAGGGGTCACGGGTAGTCGGCGGGCTGGCCCCGCCCCCAATTGGGGGGGGCAATCGGGGGCGGTGCTGTGGGCAGTTGGCCGGCCCAGCCCCCTGGTTGAACTCCCAGTTGAGGGGACAATTTGCATATTAGCCTTTTATTATATAGGATGGATTTGAGTTATGTTTTTCTAGTCTTATCAAAAAAACAGAATCGGTGCCCAGTTGGTGTGGCCCTCTCTTTTTGGGTATATGATTCTTTTATGAAAATAAGTCTTAGGAATTAAGTAACTTAGCTAAATTTTGGTCATTGTCACACAGATAATGAAAACCTAGGTAATGAAATTTTGTTGCTTTGATTAATACTATTCTTTTTTTAATCCTTATTGTTGAAAGTATTACATAGATGCAGATGTAGCTGACCCCTTTTAGCTCACCCCGTCCCCAAGTAATACTATTCTTGATAAGAACTACTAGTTAGCATCAATAAAAAACAAATATAGATGTTTATTTGCTTTATTATGTACCATATATGCCTCCAAAGATGTGTGTAAATCGTGCTTTTTAAAGTCAAATCTTACTGTACGTGCATTTGAGGAGTTGGCCAGTTAAAGGAACTCTGATCCTTGGGAAAGCATACAAATTAGCTTTCCAGACCATAACACTTTGCCACTAATTTTACTTTTGTGCATATGCGCATGTACACACATGCGTATATATACCTGTGCCTGTGTGTGTTTAGCAGAACCCTGTTATGAAAAGTTAAATATCAAATTCAGTATGAAGTTAGCCAGGAGTGGTCAGTAGCAAAAGCTCCTATTGATGTCCGTTTTTAGAAAGATGATGGTTATTGATCACTGAGAAGATTTGTATGTTCTTAATGTTATCGGTGGTAGTTTGGCTTAGAAGTGCCAAAGAATTTGTAAGTGGAGCTCAAGGCTTAGTGGACCTTAAGTTGGCAGCAACCAGGTTTGTGTGGGTGAAGTCCCTTATTGCCAACTGCTCAGCATATCAAGACTGTCTCCCAGGCCCCTGGTAGGTATCCCCTTAGAGTCAAGAATATCTGAAGATTTTTTTATTGATTCTTAAAAAGAGAGGAAGGGAGAGAGCGAGACAAACATTGATGTGAGAATGACACATCGCATGGCTACCTCCTGCACACCCCCTCCTGGGGATTGGGCATATAACCTGGGTGTGTGCCCTGACCGGGAATCGAATTAGCAACCTTTTGGTGCATGGGATGATGTCCAGCCCATTGAGGCACATCAGCCAGGGCCATAAGCTTGTTAATTTTAAACAAATAAAATCAAATTCAGGAACAGTGTATTATCTAATTCTCTTTACATATCTTTTTTTTTTTTTTAAAGAAAGGAAGAAAGGGTTATTCTGGGTTCGTTTGAAAAGTTTATTTTAGTTGAGGTGTGAGAAAAGGGAATAATCACATTGTTAAACCCAAGTATGTGTTTATGTAAAGGGTGGAAATGATCCTGTTCATTCTAAGTGTTTGTTGTTTTGGTCCTAATTAGACCTCGAATTAATCTGAGTTATTTGCTAGCTGCTGATAAAGCAGCTAATATACCCGTTATCCACTTCTGTCTCCTGAGAATATCAGTGACAATGTTCTTGTCACTGGTTTGTAAAGGATGCCAAAAAAATAGTCTCCTGCCAAGTAAAGGCTTTCATTGAAATTCTCATTTTAAGAATTGTCTTCTTGCCCTGGCCGGTTTGGCTTGGTGGGTAGAGCGTCGGCCTGCAGACCAAAGGGTCCCAGGTTCGATTCCAGTCAAGGGCACATGCCTGGGTTGTGGGCTCGATCCCCAGTAGGGGGCATGCAGGAAGCAGCCAATCAATGATTCTCTCTCATCATTGATGTTTCTCTCCCTCTCCCTCTTTGAAATCAAATAAAGAAAGAAAGAAAGAACTGTTCTCTTAATCCTTATGTTTGTGCCATGTGCTTCTTCCCACTGGGTTAACACTGCATCTGTTTTCTTGGTAGGTTCTTCAGTGCCGCAGGCTCAGTCACCACAGTCTTTTTTCTTGGGTGCTAGACTGCAGAGCGCCCCCAGCCTCACTGACATCTACCAGCACAAGCAGAAGCTCAGAAAGCAGCACTCCGACCCCGTGTGCCCGTCCCACATGGGGGCTGGGTGCAGTCACTCCCCTCAGCCCAGTCGGCCGGGCAGCCTGGGGACTTCTCCCACCAAACACCTGGGGTCCTCTCCGCGGAGTTCTGACTGGTTCTTTAAAACCCCTTTACCAACAATAATTGGCTCTCCTACCAAGGTGTGTTTATTAAACCTTTGTAGGGGTTACGGCTTTGTTAGGTTAACATTGTGAAGTGGACGGATGGAGAGCCAGTTCAACAACAGACCACAAGAGAAATTGAAATGGAGGTCTTTTACTCACAGCTCCTGAAAGAGACATCCTGGGGTGGGTGCCTGGGGGGATGCCCAGACGGCGTGCAGCTAGGGAGAAGCAGGGTCTGGGTGCATGCCTTTATTGGGGTTCATGGGTAGAGTGTTTCGGATTCCTGGCTAAGGCTAGATTGCTCAATTCAAACCAAAAAGCAGAGTTCTGGTAAGCTCCATAGGGGTCTTACCTAAGGGGTACATGAGGAAGATTCTGGGAGGTGGGGCGTCACCTCAGGAGCTGACATTTGCTCGTGACGTGCGGGCTGCTAGCTGGGTCGTGCACTTACAGGCAAGTGTCAGTTTAAAGTCCCTGCAGTCCACTTGGCCAAACAGAATGGATGCAGAGGCAGCGATACCATGGAATAGCTGAACTGAGCTCTCTACAATAGGTCATGAACTAGTATGGAAAGGCCTTATGATGAGAAGAGCTACAATTTAATGAGCACTTGATATGTGCCAGGTGCAGTGTAGGCCCTTGACTTGAATGCTTTATGTACATTATCCCACTGAGGTGCCCACGGTTAGAGGCTGTAAGTGGAAGGGCCAGTATTTTAATCCAGTTCTGACCGACTCCAGAGTCAGTGCTCCTGGCTGCTGGGCTATGCAGCCTGCCAGTACTGAATGCTTTGCACATCGTAATAACCAGCTTACGTGTTTCTTTAGACCACAGCTCCTTTCAAAATCCCCAAAACACAAGCATCTTCCAACCTGCTAGCGTTGGTTCCTCGCCATGGGCCTTCTGAAGGGCAATCTAAAGATGGGGATGACCCACGGGAATGCTCTCATTGTCTCTTACTACCAGGAAGGGAGAGGCAGACGTCTGAGCAGCAAAGCAAGGCAGTGTTTGGCAGGTAAAAAACACCGTTTCCTTCCAGCTTTAAACATGAAAACTGCCCTGCTGGTGTGGCTCAGTGGTTGAGCATTGGCCCATTAACCAGGAGGTCACGGTTCAATTCCCGGTCAGGGCACATGCCTGGCTTGATGCTAGTAGGGGGCGTGAAGGAGGCAATCGATGTTTCTATCTATCTCTATCCCTCTTCCTTCCTCTCTCTAAAATCAATAAAAATGTATTTACAAATTAAAAAATAAACATGAAAACTACCATAGTACATATATTTCTGTTACAAAACAACCAGACCAAATTAGCTGGATATGAACTGTATACTTAGAGTCCGAAAACCGTAGATGCTTCCTGTAGCTGGAAATACAGAGCTCTTGCTGAATTTCCTGAATAGCCTATTTCTGCCTCTTGTTTATATTGGTTAATGAAGTTTATCTCTACCTTGAATTGTTATCTATTTTTGTCTCCTTGTTCTTTGGCTTCGAATTAACCCTTTTATGGCTTGGCTTAAATCCTTATTATTTACGTGTGGATTTTTCATTATTAAAATCACTCTTCTTTTTAGATCTGTCAGTACTGGGAAACTGTCCGATCAACAAGTCAAGACACTTTTAGGTGGACATCAGGGCAGCACAGACAGTTTAAATACAGAACGACCAATGGATATAGGTAAGAGAAAACTATTTGTTTTTGAGGGGGATGGGAGCAGGTAATTAGAAGTGTGAAATTGGTCTTTCTGGGCAAAGTCCAGGTGCCAGCAGGCTCCTGCGGGCTCTGGGAAGGGTGTGCTTCCTTGCCTTCTCCAGCTTCTGGACACTGCTCTCATTCCTGCTCAGCCCCTTCCGTCTGGAAGTCAGCAGTGGCCAGCCTAGATTCTGACCTGCCTCTCTATTCTGCACTTAAAGGACCCTTGTGATTACATGGGACCCACTGGGTTATCTCTTTATGTTAAGGTCAGTTGATTAGCAATTCTAATTCCACCTGCAACTTTAATTTCCTTTTGGCATGTAAGATAGTCTATGCAAAGGTTCCAGGGCTTAGGACATGGCCTCTTAGGCTGGGCTGGGGGTAGTTATTCTATGTACCTGCTTCTACTGATTGAGCATGCGCTTACTGGCCCAGATTTCTTTATCCTGTCCTTGTCCTTTTGTCTTTCTCAGTAGCCTATCAAGACAGGGACTTGTTCCATATCTTGATGACCAATGGCCTATGAGTTAGAAGGAATTCTGACCAAGATCATTTTTTATCAATAGGATAATACTGGCTAAAGTTAGGCTAAACACTCATGCATTCTTAACTATTTCTTATACAGCAAGGAGTTCCTGTAAAGACCCACAGGTCACTGAGATCCCTGGCCCTTGCATAGCTCTTCCAAGGGCTGTTACGTCTGCAGACCCACATTTAGATTCCAGACCTAACCCAGACTTGGATTTTAGGAATCTGTACCTAAATTTCAGAATCACTATTTTAGCCTCTTTAGTCTTGTTTTCTCTATTATTTTTTTTTTAATCCTCACCTGAGGGTATTTTTCCATTGATCTTTTAGAGAGAGTGGAAGAGAGAAACACCAATGTGAGAGAAACACATGGATTGGTTGCCTCCTGCATGAGCCCCAACCAGGGCCCAGGCTGGGGAGGAACCTGCAACCGAGGTCCATGCCCTTGACCGGAATTGAACCTGGCACCCTTTGTTGCCACAGGCTGACACTGAGGCAAACTGGCTAGGGCTATAATTTTTAAAAGTCATATTTGTCAAGATGTTTGCACAGGAGTAAGAAATGGGTAAATATATAGTCTCTTTAATATGTCAGAGTTTTTACTATTTTACACACCTTTATGCATGCCAAATGCATAGAGCTAGTGTAGGAATTTGAAGAAGCCACAAAGAATTTCTGAGAATTGGTTTCCTCTGGGGCCAAGGTGTTGTGTGACCTAGGAGCTGTGGCTTGGGAACCTACAGGCAGAGGTCTCTTGTGACACACTATAATTTCTTAATTGATTTTCCCATGAGCATCCAAAGGAGGGAATGTCTGGACTAGCAGATAACTGATTGAACATGATCTCTAATCCAAAGGGAATATGCCTAGGTGTGGACTTTTTAGTATTCATCATGCTTGGTGTTCTAAGCTTCCTGGAGCTGTGGTTGGGTTTTGTCATTAATTTTGAAAAATTCTCGGTCATTAGTACTTCAGATATTTCTGCTGTTCCTTTTCTCTTTCTTTGCCTTCTGATATTCCCATTGTGCATGTGGTACTCCGTTATAGTCGTCCACAGTTCTTGGGTATTCTTTGGTTTTTGTTTCTTTCCTTTCTTTCTTCTTCCTCTTTGCTTTTCAGTTTTGGAAGTTCCTATTGACATATCTCCAAGCTGATTCTCCCCTCAGCCATGTCCAGGCTTCGATGAGCTCATCAAATGTGTTATTCATCGATGTTTCAGTGATTTTTACTTGTAACATTTCCTTTTCTCAAGTGTCCCTCTCTCTACTTAGGTTACCCATCCGTTCTTACATGTTGTTTACTTTCTCCAATAGAGCCCTTAGCTCAGTTTCCTTACCATCACAGTCTTCATTTTGGGGGGACAGTGCCCTTAGGCATGAACTTCCCCATGTTCTGTTTCACATAAAGTCAGTTTCCTTGGAAGAGTCTCAGAATTCTCCGTTCTATGTGCTTTTTACGAAAAGTCACTAGAAACTGGGACAATTTTTTGAAAACAGCTTGCCTGAATGATTATATTATGTAGAATGACTTTTTCTAATTCTCTTTTAGAAAGAAATTTAAATTTCATAGAGCTTTTGAGTTCTACATGAATAGGTGTTAAGTAAAAGTTTGTGCATGTGAAACCAGATCTTTTTTTCTTAATTTTTAGGCATGCCCTGGCCAGTGTGGCTCAGTTGGTTGAGCAGAGATGAGAGAGAATCATTGCACCAAAAGGTCGCCGGTTTGATTCCCAGTCAGGGCACATGCCCAGGTTGTGGGTTTAATCCTGAGTCAGGGTGCAATGCAGAAGGCGATTGATATTTCTCTCTCTCTCTCTCTTTCTCTCCCTCTCCCTCTTGTTCTCCCACTCTCTCTAAAATCAATAATAAAAACATACTTAAAAATTTTTTAGCCATAAAATGCATTTTTGATAACTTTTATTCTTTTTTCTCTCTCCCACATGAATTTTATTATCATCATTTGAAATTATAATTTTTTTCTAATCATGAAATTTCAGTTTCTGGAAATAAAAATTATTGATAGTAGGAAATAGGAAAAACTTAAGCCTTAGTGAAAAAAAATAGGGTCATTGGCTCTGAAAATATACCCATGACCATCTTTAAATACTTTTATACCTAATAGAATAAAATCATAAAGATATTACATTAAGTGACAAGAGTACCTATGTCATTTTGTACATTTTGTGTAACAGTAGGTACTGTTAATTACTTCCCACTTATTCCTTGCTCCCTGGAAGGTTTTATGAACCCACATTTTTGCTGTTAAGTCAATGCTTTAAATGTGCTATGCTCTGTTGCAGAGAAGATGGACATTGAGAGATAATTTTTTTCTGTATCTGGTTCAGTCTCTCCTTTAAATTCATGATGTATGTAGTTAACTCCTACCTCCATTCTGTGGTCTCAGAAATGTAATGTGTTTCAGATGCTTGAGTGTGGAAACGCTTTGGACAACTTTTCTTGATTCTGCTTAGTTTGGTGGATGGGAGATTTTTCACCTTCTCTTCGTTCAGCCCATTAAGCCCCTTCGACACCTGTTGCGGCTCCCTGTCTTCCTGCAGTTGTAAGGGTGCGATTCTAAGGCATAAATATACTTTCACTCAATTTTCAACATCCTTCTGTAGCTCTGTTGCTATGGAGACTCCTGATCTACCTTCAGCTTTACCTCAAATTTTTATCCCCTATTCTTGGTTTCCACTTTTTCAAATTATCCTCAACAGGATAATTGACTGCAGTTGATTTGTTTTGTTTTTTATCCTCACCTGAAGGTATGTTTTTATTGATTTTTTTTTTTTTGAGAGAAAGAGAGAAACATTGATATGAGAGAGAAACATTGATCGGTTGCCTCCTGCACATGCCCCAATTGGGGATCGAACCTGCAACCTTTTAATGTATGGGACAATGCTCCAATCAACTGAGCCACCCAGCCAGGGCCAGTTCGTGTATTTTAAAAGTACACAGAAGTAACTGAATACTGGGCTTTGGTGTGAAAAAGATTCATAGCCATGAAAAGATTACTATAAAATAGTTTTAATGGATATCTGTATTGAATGCTTATTGTAAAAAAAAAACAAACAAACAAAAAAAACAATATAAAAGTGAAGGTCTCCCTATAATCCCACCCCCAATATAAACACTATCAAAGTAATGTGCCTTTCTGTGGCCGCCCCTGCAGGAGCCTGTGGTGTGGCCCTGGTGCCTCCTGGGGGAGCAGCAGCCAGCTCCAGGGCCGTCCTGTTCACTGTGGGGTCCCCTCCACACAGCGCCACGGCCCCCACTCGGACCCACACGGTCCTTCGACCAAGGACAACCTCAGGTGAAGGCTCGCCTCTGTAGTCTGTCTCACGCTTGGAGGGCGGTGTTCTGAGAATGGCGTAGTGTGGCTCAGATGGCTGAGTCACTGAGCCGCTCTGGAGTTCGGTTTCTTTTTCCAATGACACGGAAATAACTATTTTCTTAAAGGGTTATAAGAAATAAATGAGGCAATATTTATTAAAAAAAACCTTTATGAAGTAAAAGTACTATGTTATATACTTATATACTTGTGTTATACTGAAGGCTGGTTTTAGCGCATCCAGGAAAGGTTTTGAAAATGACAGGTGGTTTATCTTTGTTTTGTGTATTTTAAAACCTAATTTACCTTTTTTTTTCCTTTGTACTTTGGGTCCCAATCTTGGCACTTAATCCTACATTTAGACAGGATAGTAGATTGGTTTTATCATTTATACTCTATAAATAGGTTATTAATACCAAAACTTGAGAGAATATTTAGATTGGACTTGAAATGAGCTATCATTTACATTACTTTATAGATTACACATTGTGTCCTTTAAGTTCTCTCATGCTAAATAAGTTACTAATCAAGATTCAATAGATTAGTAAGAAAGGATATAAATAGACCACAAGAGAGCAAGTAGAGCTAATAATCTTGTTTTTAAGATTGAAAAAGTATTAAGAAGAAGCTTTCATTCTAAGAAAGGAACATTTGACGCCTGTTAACTAAGCCAGCGTTTAGAGCAGAGGTTCCCAGGCTGTGTGGTTAGCGGGCTCCTGCTGGCTCACAGCTGCTGCAGAGAGTGGTGGCGGTTCTTACAAAGCTGTTAAAAGTTTATGATACTTGCTCTGTGGTAATCCCATTCCTGTTTATCATACCTCTTTGGAGCATTAATCACAAGTGAATTACTGCAAAGAAGGGGAAATTTAGATTTTATTAGTGTTATTTGTGACATTAAAAGATCAGAAATAGTATAAATGCTTTCAGATGAACATTATGTATATAAATTTAATTAACGACTATTGCATCCACTGAGTTTTATAATTATGGAAATGTGGAGAAACAGGAAGAAATGTATAAGCTATAAATTGGGTTAAAGCAATATTTAAAAAGTAGCTATGATGACCTCTGTAAGATATACATAATGACAAGGTGTAAAGGTTGACAGGCAAAATAAAAGCTATTCGTATGTTCCAGTAGGATCGGTGCTTCTCGTTGCGTGTTTCCTGTGTTTCTCTGGTAGTGGGAGCAGCATGAGGGACTGTGCACCTTGCTGGCCCTGAGCCGCCGTGTCCTGTCTCCTTGCAGTGGGCTCCAGCAGCTCGGGGGGCTCCCTGTGCTCCGCAAGCAGCCGCGTGTGTGTGGGCTCCCCACCCGGGCCATGCTGGGGGCCATCCCCTCCGGGAGCAGAGGCGGCCCCCAGCCTGAGATACACGCCTTATGGGGCTTCGCCCCCCAGCCTGGAGGGGCTCATCACCTTTGAAGCGCCTGAGCTGCCGGAGGAGACGCTGATGGAGGTAGGGAAGAGAATCAGAACTCTGAAGTTTTTTTCTTCTCTTTAACTGACCTTTTCTGTTTGAAAAACATTGCTGGCGTATTTTCAGAATAATGTTGACCATGGCACTCATGCATGGCAAGCTTTGGTTGATGGGAAGTGACACACATAGATTTTGTGTTCTTAGTTTTTTAATCTGAAGTTTATTTACTACTTATAGGACTTCTGAAGTATAATCTTTCTCCTGAAACCATAACTTCTTATTCTTAAAGCTGCTTTTTCTTCATAAGATAGAAGTAATACACTTAAAGTCGGGCTTTAAAAAAATAAACCATGATGCCAGGTTAGTTACCTACATTGGAAAGTAAACCTGCCGAGCAGACTGGTGCTCACTTAGGTTTGTAGAGCAGCATCGTGTCTCCATGGACCCAGCTCTGCAGGGAAAAGCACGTCATGACCGCAAGCTTGCTGAGCAGCAGTCCAGAAAAGAGAGGTGTGTTTTGTGACTCCAAAGCAGGGGTGGGCAAACTTTTTGACTCGAGGGCCACAATGGGTTCTTAAACTGGACCGGAAGGCCGGAACAAAAGCATGGATGGAGTGTTTGTGTGAACTAATATAAATTCAAAGTAAACATCATTACATAAAAGGGTACGGTCTTTTTTTTTTTTTTTTTTTTAGTTTTATTCATTTCAAAGGGGCCGGATCCGGCCCGCGGGCCGTAGTTTGCCCACGGCTGCTCCAAAGACTACCTCCTCCACTGGCCTCGGGCAGCATTCCGTGGGCTGTGCTGGTCCTGTCCCTGAGTTCAATGCCAATGTAGTCTGCATTCCAATCTAAAATGGTTACTTCTCTGGACCAACTGAAAAAGAAACTCTCTCTCCATGCTGGGCCTCTAACATTTCTATCTTGTGTGAATGAGAATTACATATTTCACATAACAGACTGCATACAAAGCTTTAGTAGTGATCTTGTGGCAGGGTTAGTGGTGATTTTGAAAATGTGTAATACAATCTGAGACTGGGAAAGCAATCTTCAGAGGTTTTTCCATCTCCATCAACTTTGATGTAAATTGTGTCCACTGTGTGTGGGACGTCATGGGAGTGTCTGTGTTGGAGCACACGGCCCAGGTGCTGGCCTGGAGTGGACTTTCAGGAGTTGATTGGTTCATGCTCTTGTCTCTAGGAAAATGATTCTCTGGGAGAGGAAGAAACTTAGTCTCTTATTTCAGATTTGAAAATATATTTATAGGTAAAAAATAATCTCCAAACAACATTAACTTTAAAATACATTTTCACTGCATGCTATTGTGTCTGTCTATGCTTCCCTCTCTAACTGAAAAGATCACAGAAGTTTAGAGCTTTGGTGTTAGGAATCGCTGTTAACTGAAGAACCACCAGAAGTCAAGTTATAAGTCAGTAGCATTCACTAAACCAGGGGTCTTTAAACTACGGCCCGCGGGCCACATGCAAATACAAATATTGTATTTGTTCTCGTTTTGTTTTTTTACTTCA